TAACCTTTGGCGAAGTGTCTTGCTGTACTTGTGACTGGACATCAAGTGTCTCAAGCTGGCATAAATATTTGTTTGACGTTTGGACACGTGATTAATGCATTCTTGCTTTAAACTGTTGAATCATGACCATTCATTTTAATTTCATTTAAATGAGAATGTGTTTTTGCATCACTATTTGACAACATTTCTGTTAATGTTTGTTTGCTACAAATGTTTGTCTCCCGGACAGATTAACACCACAAAATTTCTGCTGCAACTTATTCTATAGAATTTGATGGCATAATTTGATTTAGTTAACATTCCACTCTTTCACTGTGTTCTTTATTACATATTTCAAATTAATGTAGTATTTCTTTTCTTAACTTTCTACAGCAGATCCTGTTATGCTTTGAAAGTGTTTTATAGTCCAAAACAATCCCAGGCAAAACATTTACTCCTGTTCCATAATTCGATGTTTCCACGATTTTGGCAAGTGGATCATATGATACACAAATGCAGGGGAGTCCAGAAGCGAGGGGGCAGCTGGGGCAAGTTGCCCAACTTGTTTGAAGTTCCACATTTTTTTCTTTCAAAGAAAATGAAAAATATATTTATCTGAAATCCAATTTTAACGCTATAAGTTATTTCTAGTGCATGAAGAAATGAATTCTGTTACTGACTGGGAGGAGGAGGGTATTTTTTATTTGAAATAATGCTTGGATTATCTGTTCCAGGCACTTGGTTTTCTCTGACCTCCCTGGAACAAATGCCTATAATTACATTATTTACTAATGGAGGATTGGCTTCTACATATTCTTTGTGAACACATTCTGTACACTCTTGAAAACGTACTAAAAAGTAGACTGCTTGTCGCTCGTATAACAATATGTGTTTCATTTTAGAATATGGTCTTGAATCCATGGTATTCATTCCCATTTTCATTTTTAAAAAATTGTAAAGCTGCACTTATCTTCATCGTTTTGTGTTGAAATCCATCTTCTGGAGTATCGATTCATTGTTTCTCGTTAAGTGTAACACAACAAATCAAACCACGGTATATCAATTCTTGTTGTTGCGTTATTTGTACCACTTGTTTCGATATATCCTCGTGCTCAGCTATTTCTACGATGTTTGATTTCCAAACCTCATTGAGGGTATTTAGACCGACTATATTGTGTAGGTAATATTTATCTGAACTGTTTTGTTTTTTACAAGTGTTGTTCTATGTGCTGTTTCTATGTTGTGTTCTATGCTGTTCTATGTTCAATAAAATTTGCATTGAATTGATTTGTCAAGCTGCATGGCTCCTTCCGAAAGAAAGAAATGAGTCCACTATATTTTTTTAAAATTTCAAATGGCAAAAATTCATTGTTCATTATTGGTGATGTATTTCTACCCCCGTAAAGGGCAACTGGTCTCGTTACGACGCCATTAGATCCCGGGATTCCCATTCGGTCACTCAATCAGGAACCCGCGATTTCTCGAATTCACTTAACCATCGTGACATCACGTAGTCAACGAATTCGGTTAGCGACGCTGGTTTTGCGGTCGTGGCTTCTCAGTAGAACCATCACAGCATTGGCTTGGATGACCAGGGGAAACCACGAAAACCCAGATCAGGGTGGCCAGCAAGGGAATTGAACCCGGGCCTCCCGAATGCGAAGTCAGCGCGCTACGCCCTGAGTCACTTCACTCAGTCTTGGTAATGTATACTCTTGCAATGATAAGTGCTGTACGTCACAGTTAATTTAGAACAAAATCCTAAATATTCAGAATATATAATTTGAAATTTATTTCTTACGAAGGAAGGCAAGAACTTATAAAGGCTAGAACTGTTTGATAGGGCCTAAAATGAAAGCGTTGCGGGTGGCATGACAATGGTGAGCCAGCGCACTCTAAAATATCAAAATTTAAATCAATGTTCAAAATAAAAGTGAAACTTTTCCGTTCACTGCATTTTACAAACATTTCAGAATAACTTTCGTGGTGGCAGCAGAGATATAGTGGTAATACATAATGATTACTGATTAAGGATCGTGGAGATATTAACCTCAAAGTGTATTACAAAAACAGCCATACACGTGTTTCGGGACTAATTTATTCCATTTTCAGTGGCTCCAAGTATCATGGATTAAACACGTGGGACATAAGTCGTGTACAGTCAGTCACAGTATTCTGCCCGACATACAAGATTGCGCCGACTTAAGTCCCATGTGTTTAATTAGTCACAGTTAGTGGCGGATTTAAGTAATTTCCCGCTCTTGTCAAATATGTTTTGCCTTCCCCAGGTTAATTTAATGAATTTTTATATTAATGTTATCAGGCAAAAATATATAGTTATAATTAAAAATAAATTCTATTATAGTTTACATGTGTACAGTATACATGCGAAAGAAGATATTAACATTTGGAAATAAGGTGTAAAGGTTAGGTTTTCCAAGCAAATTGAGCATATACTGCTATAGTTTTTTTCAAAGCTTTAAGAACATTTAAAAGGCGTAAATTATATATCAAAATAGATATTTTTAAATTTAACATTCAATAAACATCATTCTCTAAAAATGACGCACTGAAGATTTGCTGCCCCTCCAAATCTGAGCGACTTCAGCACGTGCCTAGGTTTGCCTATTCATAAATCCGCCACTGGTCACGGTATATCAGTCAGTCACAGTCTACAGAACTGAGTTCAGTCATTCTGCTCGACGTACAAGATCGCGTCGTCTTAAGCCCCACATGGTTAATCCATGATGCATGATGGGAGAAGATGGGATAAGTTAGTCGCCAAACACCTATATTTGTATTCTTTTAACTTATATTGTAATATACTTTGTGGTTGGTATATCCTCGATCCTTAATTAATAGTCATTTTAAAGTGATATTTCATTAGGAAAAGTTAATTAACCCAGTCTTCGGTCCGAAAGGTCGCTATCGCAGTGTGTCTCGCGTTCAGCTGACCCTAGATAAGAGAAGTTCGCAAATGCGTTGGTGTCTGGTGTACGGTCGAATATGCGTCCGGTCGGGATGTAAAAGGGTAATCGACTGTCGGCTGGATAACGCCTTAGAGAAAAAACAACAACAAAACAACCTAGTTACTCACAAAAGGTACGTGTGAACTTATTGTCTATCAATTAACAATATTTCAGCTATTTTGTATAAAATATATTAAAAGACAATATAAAAAATAAATACAAAGGAATGGGTTTGAAGTAACGAGCACAGCTATCGCGTAATCTTCTGAAACCAAACTTTTTTCTCTGCTTTGGACACTGAAATATTCACACTGGGGTAAATGAAGTTCTTACATTTGTCATGAGCACGCCTGTAGTCGCTTTTGAGTAGCACGCGTCGTATGTTCGCCAAACAACCGGCTGCACTGATTTGGGTCACCTAGAAAACGAATAAAACTATGCAGATCGCAGATTAATCTCAAAGGAACGAGAAGATTCGTTGTGCTATGAACAACTCTTTTAACTCTTCCACATGTACAGGTGGCCTGGAAGGGAAAGTCGAAACTTCGAAAATAATCTGTTAACACAATTTTAAGCATATTTTGTCTAATAAACTCTCTCGATATTTCGAAAGGCAAACCTGCAATAAACACTCAGAAGTGAATTTGAAAAAAATATTTCTATGAAAAAATTTGCATTTCAGAAACACACAAACACTGAATTAAAATTTAAAAAAGTAACACAAAAATTTTAAAAAAGCAACCAATTTACATAGTGCGACTGGTTTTTATTTCTTTGTTAATTGTTCTTTCTGAACAAATAGATTCATTTCTTTTTTACATAATAAACAATGTACATTTTTCTTGAGTGTGTATGTTTTTACTATGCTAATTTGTACATACAAAGTATTTTTCAAACCAACTTTGCAGAGTTTATTGCAGCACTGCCATTCGAAATACAGAGAGAGTTTATTACACAAAATATGCATAAAATTGTCTTAAGAACTTATTTTCGAAGTTTCGACGTTTCCTTCCTGAACACTCGCTTTACACAGAAAGAAGGAAATTTATTGGATCCACCCTAAACATTCAAGGTCGAAATTTCTGTAGTAAAATAGAATTTCAGGTCCCCTGAAATGAAATATGTTTTAATTATGTTTGTCTGTGTCTACAAATGAATGTGTTTCACAAACACTCCAGAAAATTAGAGATTTTGGAGCTATAGTTTGTGCACAACATGATTTTGGAGCACAACAGGCTCAAGGTTAGTACCACAACTAAGATTACCCTAGGGAACAATTTTTTTTTCATACCTCCAAGATAAATGTTGGTTCAAAGGAAACGATCACACTAATTTCCGAAATCATCATAAAAAGTTTCTATCACACAGGATTCAAATGATATGAACATATTTAGTATTTAAAAAAAACTCCTATACTAATTTCCGTATTGTCTCTCAGCTACAAAATTGTATGAGGATGTTTCATATGAGGTAAGAACAAGTTAAAAATGGAAGGCTTTATAAAAGAGGTTTATAAAAAACAGGGTCTGGTGGTAAAAAAGATACAAATAAGTGTGTACTAATGCCTCGCAGTAGAATATTCCAGGTGTATGAAGAATAGGTACTGTAGCTGGAAAGAATTAATGTATGTGGGACGAGTTGTGAAGTTATAAAGAATGAATGTAAGTGTGAGTGCTAATATACCTTCAGTGGGCAGAAGGTATGCAGTACAGGGCCCGAAGTCCATGCCTGGCATATTACAGGTGTACGATGAATGAGTACTGTACGGAGTAAGTAAGAATTACATGTAAGTAATTGCCTTTACAGCCACACCGAACAGAAAACTTTCAGCATACGACTCCATGCCTGGCATATTTCAGGGGTATGTAGCTAGTACGAATTCCATGTGAGTGGTAATATGGTCTTAGCGGGCACCAGGTATGCAGTGCACGTAGTCCACGCCAGGTATTTTACAGGTGTGTGAACAACGGGTACTGTAGCTAGTAGTAAGAATTTCATGTAGATGAGTGGTAATATGGTCTTAGAGGGCACCGGGTATGCAGTGTACGTAGTCTACGCCAAGTATTTTACAGGTGTGTGAAGAACGAGTACTATAGCTAATAAGAATTCCATGTAAGTGAGTGGTAATATTGCCTTAGCGGGCACCAGGTACTCGTATGCAGTGCACGTAGTCCACACCAGGTATTTTACAGGTATATGAAGAACGAGTACTGTAGCTAGTAAGAATTCCATGCAAGCGAGTGGTAACATGGCCTTAGAAGGCACAAGGTATCCAATGCACGTAGTCCACGCCAGGCGTTTTAGAGAACGCGTCCCGCCGCAAGCACGCCTTACCGGGCAGCAGGACTCGATGGCCGCGAGCAGGCAGGGCACGATGCCGCAGCCGTGCATGACGATGCAGTTGATGGGGTCGCGCGACAGGATGTAGAAGCAGCGGCAGGCCTGCGCCAGCAGCGTGGGGCACTTGGTGGAGAGGAAGCCGCTCGCCACCTGGATGATGTGCGTGCGCCCGAACTGGCCCAGGTTGTCGCGCACGTAGCAGCAGTTGGCGATGGCCGAGCACAGCTCGCGCCGCATGGCGTCGTCCCCGCGCTGCTGCGCGATGTGCGACAGGTGGCGCACCACGCCCTGCTCCGTCATCACGCTCAGGTTCTCGTAGTCCAGCGCCACCTCGAGGACGGGTGGACAATAGTGGTCGGTTGGTTGGTTGTTGCTGGTTCTGAGCGCGTCCACTACTGAGGTCGCTAGTTTATTGATAGATTGGTTGTGTGGTGACTCCAGGCCCGTCAACTAAACAGTCATTTGTCCCGTAAGTGTATTACATGTTTCTTCTGGGTGGCGACGATGATCTTACCCCTAGGTATGACGAGATCCAGCGCCGACGTACCGTCGGCTAGCGGAGTTTGCGTCAACCACGTCTCTACCTACAGCAGGGCACCGCCCCACCCGGGACAAGCTCTTAACCGACCAGTCTCCAGGTATGTGTGTAAGTAAGGGCGAAGACTGGATAAGAAAGAGAATAGAACGATGGCGCGCGATCCGTGGCCCGTTTGTTAGGGCACTGCTCCGGCATTCGCCTGATTTGTTGATCTATCCAACAACAAAATTAAATCAGAAAAGTTGGAGCTAATGTTTTATTAAAAGCCTAGGGATTCGTGGAAAGTACGCCCTTAAATTAAAATATCGGTTTTAAATTCAAGCGCGCGTGACATCAGCCAGATCGACAGGAGAAAATCAATTTTGGAGCAAATCGGTTTGCACGGTTTAGCCTCTAACGTTGTTCACAGACGGTCGTACAGACAGACGTTTTGGAGTATTTTCGACTTTTCGCTATTAAGGACCCACAAAACATGCATTTAGGCTACACCAGGTGTTATAGAATTTTTTTATAAATGATAGGTTAAAATTAAGTCGCCGTTTTTTTTTCACGCAACAATACATAACTTTCTGTCTACTGCATAGCGGGAAAGTAAAAATCCTTTGTGAATCACCTCCCCGACGACGGCGAGCGCGGGGGTGAGAACCTCCACGTCTGTGCTGTTGAGCAGCTTCACGAGCAGCTCCAGGGCGCCCGTCAGCTCCCGGATGACTTCCCCCGAGTTCTTGGCGCGCGTCACCGTCGGCTTGATTGCCCACAGCGCCTGGATCTGGACTTTTCGATGCCTGTTCCGCAGCAGCGACCATAACAAGCGTACTCCGTCGTGATCTTCAATTATCTCCATTCCCTGAAAGAAAAGTACTCGTAAATGAATTTAATTTGACTAAAATAAATATTGTATTCCGGAAACATTTGTTAATAGACATTCTTGTTAACGGACATTGTACATTATTTCAAGAGCGCAGTCTAACAGAATACTTTAGATAAAAATAAAGAAAAACTCATTTTTACAATGAAGCGCTCAATTTAAAGGATTAAATATGTATGATATAGAGTTACAAAATACATTTTAAAGGTTTTTATAAATACACGTAAATGACTTGATTTGCACAGCAGATACTTGCTCCACACATGGCCTTTGAGAAGCATACGCAGAAGTGCCTCGTCATGTGACCATTGTTATGATCGCCATCGTCCAATTATGATTGTTAAATATTCAGAACAAAACTTAAATGCTACAAGACAAGGAGTTTATATTCATTATTTACAATATTAGCCAATAGAGAGCCAAAAATATCACAGATGTAACTATAAAAACGTAGTCAACTGGACGACGCGTGATAAAATGGCGAACAATGGTAATAGGCACCGCTACAACGTTACGTGAATTGGCTAGTCGCACAATGAAGGTTCTCAGAGATTCGGAAATGGGTAGTGAGAGGGAGTGGAGGGGGGTATCGGCATTAAAATAAATGAAAAAATATATGTTAAAGAAAGTTACAAGACACATTCTAGGGGAAGAAGCTTAGACAGTACTCCAAGGATATCACGTTCAAAATCAATTGCAAAAATTAATTCATTTATTTTCAATTTGAATTTGGCATCAAAATTGGATAATAAAAATTCCTTCAAATTCAACTATTTTTTCCCCGTCTCTGCAATTTTTTTTCAGCCTGATACATGCAACAGAATCTGAGAAAAAAATAACAAATGAAAACGTTGTGTCTCTGAGTCTCTCTCGTTGTGTCTCTGCAACAGATATCCCTAGGAGGTTGATTTTTGGGAATTTACATTTGTTATTCTCTTTTATATGAGCATCGCGATTATTGATTTGCTTTGGGGTCACGTTTCACTCCCTTACTGGGCTATATCCCTTAAATAGTGGTGATGCAGAATGGAATATTCTTTCCAGTGTTAGGTTTCTAATTTCTTCGGTCTGGGCCAGCTTTTCGGTCTTAACCCACGCCCAAAGTACATTTTTTAAATTGTCTTAGTTTTTTAGCTTCCTAAAGGTAGAACCGTAATATTACTTTACGTAAATTATAGAAGAGTAAAACCTCGCCATGTAAGCATATTTTCGCTGAAAAAGTTGGAGCCGGTTTTAAGAAAATGGCTTTTAAACGGTACTGTAAAAGCAAAATTTGAAGCTACTTTAGAAAATTAGAAAAAAGAGTAGGTTTTTACTTTTTTGGGCGACGAATGAATGAAAAACCATTACACATTTAACTACATGGCGGAATCTGCAGTACGTTGGTTTCCAGAAATTACAATATAATATTGAAAATCTCGTATAATATGATTTGGCCATAAGGCCCTCTCTTTTAGCACACTGCCTTGTCTGTGTCATTTGAATGCACGACCTACCACTGAACGGGTAGAGACCTTAGATCACCAGCCTGTAGCCAGGCATACTAGGTTGTTTGGCTAACGGGAAACCGGTGACAAGTTGGATAACAGCGATGTAAAGTGCTCGTAAGGAAACCCTAAAAAGTGTATTTCCGTCAAAATCTCGATGTTTTGGAGCATTACGAGAAAATCAAAAGATTTAGAAGTTTTTTCGGAATGTGATGAAACGGCTATCGTACAATTCAGGCAAATTCAATCTCTAAGTTTGCAATGCATCACAATGAAGCTTACTGTAAATGTTAATGCTTTTTAACGATTTTTTTTAGTATCACAGTGGAATGGATATCCTTTCTATTCTAACCAAGAGCTAACTTTTGAAAGCACAAATATTGTTCCAAACCGAAGGAATATTTGGAATACTTTTTTTTGGCGAATATGTTTCATATCTTTACAAATGCAGAACTAACCAAAGTACGTCACCGGGACTGTTCTTGCTACAGCTGAAGTATGGACGTTTAAAACCAGTTGATTACCTCGGCGAAAGATTTGCAGACACATCTATTCGGTAAGAGTCGCATTGTATTTTTTTGTGGAATGTGTCGGCCATTTTGATGCAGATCTTACCACAGTCGTCAGAATGTCTCCGAATCGCAATGGCACAAGTGGATACATAGGTAATGATGAAGAAATACCTCAGAGTGTAGTGCCATTCTTCCTAAGCATTGTGCAGCTCTTGCCACCAGATCCGGATTTGGGTCGATGAGCATCGACACAATCTTCGGCAGCACCCCTGTCTTCACGATCGTGGTTCGTGACGTGTCCGTCTTCGCCATTTCCGCCAAACCGCCAACGGCGTGGGTCTTCACCGCTGCGTCGATATCATCAATAAAGCTGGCACGAAAATAAAATCAGCGTCATACACAATCAATGAATCAGTTATTTGATTCATTGATTAATTGATTGATTCATTGATTAGTGATACCGCGAGCGTCTCATTTACTAAGGTCATTAATCCCGTAAATGTGGTATACGGTTTTTGCTCGGAGGTGATACTCCTCCACGGGACGGTGAGATCCGACGTCCAACTACCGTTGGTTAGCGAAGATTTCCCCAACCAGGTATTACTCGCGCAAGTTTTCTTGATACACGAGCTCCCTAGTTCTCATCCAGCGCTGAATAGCACGGCACGTTGAGATACTTAGGTTCGACTCGGAACGGCACGTACCAATTTACAATGCTGGCAACAACCACCTCGAATTTTCAAAACAATCGTAGCATTTCTCGTGGCGTGCTTTGGCGAATTAAGTTCATGCCCACTGTTGGTACTCCCTTTTCAGCCGTGACGTCGCCAAATCCCTCCTCTACCCGCACCCCCCGCTATGGAATATCAAGAAAACTTGCTCGTATAGTACCTCCCACTAGTGAGACACCGCTCCGAGAGGTACACTTTTTATGCTCTCAATCGGTCTCCCGGCATATATTAGTGTAATGCATGTTACTGTACGTGTAAGTAAGGGGTGAGGATAGGACAAGGAAGAGGAAGGAAAGATCGCGCGCGGTCATTTGCCCATATGCTAGGGTACTGCTCGGGCATTCACCTGGAGTATTAATTACATCATACGTATGGAAAGCCTGCCTTAGGTGTAAACATGGAGGATACTTCAAAGTAAAGTCGGGGTTGTGACGATCATGTTTGCCAGGATTAGTAGGTCTGCACGGACCGAAGTTTCACTTATCTCAAGCGTTTGTAAACAAAATAGACTATCAGAGGTATTTCAAGGCTTTATTCGAAGGTCATTTTAGAAGACCTGGCAACTATTTTATATATTCTGAATAACCGCATATGTGGTTATTGCTCTATGTACATCTGTAAACATGGTGTAAGAGTACACGATGTGACCACGATGACGACTGAATTCGTTGGTGCCTAGATGACAACACATGAAAACTTTAGTATTATAGACGCGCACGGGCTCAAAGGGAACGGGGCCAGGGTTCCCGATAATTCATAGAAACATATTTTTAATACTAAATCTTTCAGAAAATAAAATTACGTATAAAAAGTAAAACATGATTAAATTATACGCAAAAAAATTGGCATAAAGGAGTGATGAGTCGCGAATCACTCAATAATAATTATAATATAGAATGTTGCTGGTTGATACGAGAATGCCATTCAGTGATGAGAAGTTTTCTTTAAACGAAGCTTGTCTTTAAAGGAGGATATCAATAAAACTAAAAATAGGAGTCCCCCAAAGCTGTTAAAACGGCTTTGATCCGAGAGACTCTGTTTCGAGATGGGTGTCATTAAAGTTGAACAGCGAGCATAAGTAAAAATTGCATTTTTGCGTGACAGAAAGCGTTGCCTTATCGAACTGCTGCACGTTGGATGGAAATCCATGTTGAATCGTATTATTGCAATTGGTAATACGTGGGCTCGAGCGAATAAACCAGAACTAAAAGGGCAATCAAATGAATGGCGGCGGCGTGCTTCACCACGAAAACACAAGTTTCGACAAAATCCTTCACCTACGAAGGTCATGCTTATTTTGGGTTATGACAACCAAGGTATTGCCGTGTGTTATCCTGTACGCGAGCTACAAACTGACAATGCCACGTACTACAGATCGTTCCTGCGCACACACTGCGTCAAACACTGCGAAGGAAACGGCCAGGAATTCTTCACAATACAATACTCATCCTTGATAATGCAACGAGCCACACTGCAGCCTGTGTCCAGAACCTTGTGCGTCGGTGTGGGAGTGAGATCTTGGAACACCCTCCGTACTCCCCCGATCTCAGTCCGTGTGACTTTGATCTCATCCCAAAAATGAAGACGTCGGGATACAGTTTGCAAACGGAGGACATCCTAACAGCCTGAAAAGCCCCCATCCATAAAATTGAATTTAAATATACAGTGGGCCAGGAAAGTCTCTCTGCACTACGCCGAACCAGGACAATCTACTAAAACCTGCATTTATGTTGGAAGCAACCCGATCATTGGAAAATAGGGAAAGGTGACAACACATCTAGAAACTACAACGATTGTGATGAGTACGCAATTTACATTTTCAAGATGCAGCTCTAACTATCAACATAATTTCTGTTGCAAATACTCTCACCATCAAGATGCCAATGCGGAAAGGGTTTTCATGGCTTGCTATAATTTGGGTTGGCGGTCTACACAGAAGGCTGCCGAGGGCTGGATGTGGCCCGCAAGTAATGTTTTGGAGACCCCTGTTTTAGACGCGTGCGCACATATCGAAGCCGTCGTGCGCCGGGTGCCGGGGCCTCACCGTATGAGCAGCGAGTTGGCGCCCAGCTCCTGGTAGGCGTCCACGTTCTCCACGGCGACGGCGCTCTTCCAGAAGGCGCCGAGCAGCGCGGCGGCCCAGCTCTGGCTGCCCTCGGCTGCCGCCGCCAACCCGTCGCGTAGCAGGCGCACCACCAGCTCCAGGCCGCCGTGCTCGCGCACCATGTGGCGCACCGTCTCGCAGCCGTCCGCCGCGCGCATCAGCGCGCTCGCCGAAGACCACGTCAGCCGCGCGTCGCCCTTCTGCGCGCACACACAAGCGATCATGCTTACTACCGCATGGTGCGCTCACTGCGCGTTGGCGTCCCCATGGAGAATCACGTCAGCAAGCGAATTTGCGCCCTCCCCGACGACCACGTCAGTCGCGCGTCGCCCTTCTGCGCGCAAACACCCGCGCTCCTGCTCACTGCCGTAAGCGTTGTTGGTGGGGTTGTGGTGAGTGCTTGGTGTCAGTGTGAGTGATTGTGGTGGGTCATGTCCCCTGCACGCATTGGCGACCCCATCAGCAAGCGAATTAGCGCGCTCGCCGAAGACCACGTCAGCCGCACATCGCCCTTCTGCGCGCACACACCCGCGCTCCTGCTCACCGCCGTAAGCGTTGTTGGTGGGGTTGTGGTGAGTGCTTGGTGCCGGTGTGAGTGATTGTGGTGGGACATTTCCCATACAAACTCAACTATAGAGCTGATGTTAATACTGCTTTTCATGTTGTGATGTTAATGGTGGAATTGGAATTGGCGGTGATAGTGGTTAGGTTTTATTTTGTTCAGAACGAAATATTACGATTAAATAACCAAGAGCATGCTATTAATATTTGATTTTTTAATAATTTTGGGGATTCGTTATTCTTACTTGAGATTGACTCATAATTCCGGCTGTGACTACTGCTTAGGTCATTAATGCCGTAAGTGTAGTGCATGTTTTATCGCGGGGGTTGGTGGTGGTGGTGGTGGTGATGGTGAGAATGGAAGCGGGTGCTGGAGATGGCAGGAGGTTCCCACTCTGGATGGCAAAATTCGGCGCCGGCCTACGTTAACCCACGGGGTTTCCCCAAACAGGTGTCTCCCACCAGAAGGATACCATCCTCGCCGGGACAAGTTCTAGGCTCCCGACCGGTCTCCCGGCATGCGTGGGTGTGTAGTGCATGTTAGAGTAGGTGACTGTAAGGGAAGGAAAGATCGCGCGCCGTACGTGGCCCGTTTGTTAGGGTACTGCTCCGGCATTCGTCTGGTGTAGAGCATTCCGAGATAAATCACGGAAATCTACCGATCAGAGCAGCCGGTCGTTAAAAGTCTTCTCCAGACAGCGGATGAAGTCGATCTAGCTATGCAGTGTGTGTCGAATATCGTGCCACCGTCGGGACTCGACCAATAGGACCTCGCGGTCAGAGGCACTGCAGTGACGTCAACTGATGCCAGGAGCAATCTAAGCCGTTCAGGGTCATGTTCCTTGCACCTACCCACTCGTTGCTGTCAGGGTGGCGTTTTGTACGGTCCTACGGGCTCAGAGGAGAGCCATCACCGGCTGCATATGGCACGTCTAGCTCCCATTGTATTCAGTAAAGTACTTGGATCGTTTGATTTTTTAAAGAATTTAAAACATTCATATTGTGATTGGAAGGCGAATCTTTAGTAGAAATTTATTTACTGTCACATAAAACCAATTAATTTGTTTGAATTTGCTTTGAAAAGAATTATAATTTCTGTGATTCGAATAGTACATAAAGAAAACAATACATTGATTAAACACTCTAATAGAAAGTAAGGAAAAGAAATTTCAAAAAGACTTACTTTCATGTTATCGAGAAGCACTCCCACAAGCCCCTCTGTCTCAATGGCTAATTGAAACAGAAGCAAACTTGAGCACTCTGAGAGAATTCCTGAAATGGGAATGGAAACTTTGCTGTTGCCTGATAGCAACACCGTCGAAACAACTGGCAGGATTCCTGTCTTCAACATCGTCATTTTGTTCTTGTTGAATCGTGAAACCACCCATAGGGCATCGGCTGCACACCGACAGACGGTCACCAGGTTCCGCTCCACCGTCTGCAGGCTTTCTTCAGGGGCTACCAGAATCTCTTTGTTGACATTCAAATGCGAAATTAAGACCGGAATGCCTCCGACTCTGCGAAGAGCTTTGGACGCTCTTCGTAAATGCCCCACGTTACTCAGAATGGACGCGGCGCTCTCCATGATATCTAACGCGTTTTCCTTCAAGCGATCCACGCAAATCGGAACTATTCCTAGATTTACCGTGGCTATAGCCACGTTTCTATTCTTTGTTATCTTCCGAAGAAGCAATAACGCTGCCGCTCGACAACGTAAGTGGTTGACCTCGCACATGTTCACAAGTTTCTCCAAGCTGTCTTCTTCACACAACGCGGTCAGATTCAACGGGTTCAGTAAATCGTACTCCTGCATGCTAGAGAGGGCTGCGACACAGGCGCCCTGGCGACCGTGACTCAGGAACCTCGTAGCTTTCACAATGGCAAAGTAGTCCGCCGGCATGTCTGAGATTCGCCGAGGTTTTTCTATGACACGCATTCCCAATGTCATGTCCACGTCCGATCCTTCGTCTGAAGACGATTCACTGCCAGACAAATACGCTTTCACATTCGTTGTTCGGCGTTCGATTTTCGGTATGCCACTGTATCTCCCCGACATTTCGAATTTTTGAAGAAAAACCCTGATGACACAAAATATTAAACGCGCTTTATGATAAATATTGACTTGTTACCTGGTGACGTATTTTTCTTTCAACTTCATTTTTTATTTCGTGTTTTTGCATCAAACAGGTGTAATGCTTTCTTTACGTTTGCAGTTTCTCACTGCAGACATGTGAGATTTTCTACTTACGTTTTCAGTCATTTTTATCATTCTAATATTTTTGAAATTGGTGTGACTGCTAAGGAGAAATTATATAAAGTATTAAGTTAAAATCCTGATTAGTTTTTTTTAATGTAAAAGTAGTTTATTATACGAGTGGTAAAGGTAACATTTTATTTTGTGAGTTGGAAATATTGCGACACAAGTCCGATAGGGCGGAAAAAAATTAAATGAATGTGTTACAACATGTGTGTCATACACTATTTTTTAGACAGCCTTACTAACTCATTCTATTTTAACTAAAAAATGCGAATGACTTAAATCATATATCACGCTACATTACGGTCACTTGTAGATCATTTCGTCATTAGGCAAATATATTTTCGTTTTCTTTGTGCATGAAGTATTATCTGGACCTTTAAGTACCGTTTCACTTTCAGCAGTATTCCTAAAAATTGATTTTTTTCGACAATCAACTGGGGTGTTCAAAAATATGCAAGCTTACATTACTTTGAAATTGCGCAACAATAAAATTTCTGCAAATCTAGATGTCTTTCGCAATTGAAGATCAATTAAAAAGTATATTAGAACGACTGTAAAATTTAAAATATTTAATAACGACTGTAAAACCACTCAATAACAATAATTGAGCGACTCTTATTGTCATCATTAAAAAAGCAGACGACAACTACGAATCTGTACAGATTTAAAAAATTCAATTAATCCGCAGTATATAACTGATTCCTACGCAATATCAAAGCCGGAAGAACTGTTTACAAAATTATCAGGGGGGCCAGTATTTTTCAAAAATTGACCTTTCGCATGCAACAGATTCTTGCATCAGTCTCCCAACTAACCTTAAAAAACGCACTATCGTAAACACGCCATGCGGACTGTATCAATACCGCCTTGCATTTGATATTACACCAGCAAAACTAAATTGTTACATAAAGTTTATTAAGAGCGCAGCACAAGTTCGGCATCATTAAACAAACTACCAAGGAAAAGCACTTCTGCTCTGAAGATGTTTTGGAAATGGAAACGAAGGTACGGCCAGGCACGGGAAATTCTTCAGAATACTCGTAGAGCGCAAAAACTAGCGGCACACCTTTCTCTTATCAAAATATATTTATAGAATTCATTTTAGTCTCACGTGTCTTAATGTAAGTGCATATGCCCTCACTAAGCTTCTAGCCGTTCCTGACCTGCAGTTTGACAGAACAAGAGATCGTATTCCAGCTGGACCAGAATTTCGGAGAGACATTCCCTATCGATGCATAGAAAATTGTCAAGGAAACCAGTAAGGATGAGACCTTCAATCAAGTCATGAAATTTAAGAGAGTAATTCCAACACAATTTACCATCAAATAAACAGTTGCTCGAAGTTAATGCATGTTAGAAAACATTGATTTAGTCGATGTATTTTGAACATCGATGTTTGCATCGACGTTTGTTACCGATGTCACATTACTAGTTCCATCTCAACAGCCAGTTGATTCGCCGATAGTCATTGAGAAATCATTCCATGAGCTGCCCTCGCTGCTAACAGTACGCATCGGACCTACATACACAACCCAGTAATCCGATCCAAGCAACAATCAGCTGCTCCTACCACATTCCGATGATATCAATGAATCTAGCGGCTCATCATAGCTCTTCGGCACGGCGAACACCGTGCAACAGAAGCCGACACGGAAACCAGACGATAGACGTTGTCATAGGTGACTTAGACCAGTTATCTTCCCAGTAATACAACCGAGGCTTTACCATTAGCTCACCCACACCACTGCAAGACGAGATGGAACCAGCTTCAACCACCGACGCTGATGTCGTCTTGGAAGACTACCATCTCCCTTTACTTGCAAAGGGAGGGCAAAACAAGAAACATGAATAACCATGCGCGCCCGTGCACTAGAAACGCCGCAGGGAGGAATGATGTGAACTAAAAAATTAGTCAGAATGCAGAGTAGTATTTCCAAGTAATTTAAAACAGCAAGTACTAAATATTATGCAAAGAGGCCACTGTGGTAAGGATGAAACAATTAAAACAAAACAATTATTTCTGGTTAAACATAGACTAATATTTATATCTTTGTCTATGTTACACAGGAATTCATTAGTTGTAATAAATGTTAGTTATTCAATATATACTCATTTGTCCTAATACAGAACTGTATTTCACAATTGTAATCCATTCTGAAATAATTACATCTTCACAGAAGATCTTGTGGATCATCTTGAAGAAACGAGTTGTTTTCACGTAATTTTTGCTTGAAGTAAATGGTAATTTATATTTTTTCTTTCAAAAAAAGACGCATTTTTTCTTTAACCCTCCCCCGGGATAGAACGAAAGACAATGAAAAAATGGAGGGGGTCTTATTTTTGTTGAACACTCTGAATTTTAGAAAATTGCAAAATTTGGAATAAGTGCGCGAGAGTATGTGATTTTGTAGCACCAGAAGTTATATTCTGCTATTAGGGGACAGAAAAATTGAGATAATGAGAAAAAATTCACATTTTCAACTTGTTTCTTTTTTAACCAAAAATCATGTCAGACGACGATAGGTTAAAACTAGGAAGGGGGTGGGGGCAAAATCGAAAAGCTAGCCCAGATGAACGAGTTTACGATACTCACTAGAAAGTCTGTGCCATTCTGTAGCACGACTATTTTCGGTATCGAAGACCAACAAAACATAATTCTTAATATACAGCGTGTTAAACGAAGTTATTTACTATATTCAAGAACAAGAACTTTCCGCTTTTGGTATCAGGGACACAGAAAACTAGTTTTCC